ATGGTTACTATCAGATCTCGCTCTTTTTGTCGTGACTTGACATCTTCGAATATCAACTCGTCGAAGGCTTGTAAAACACAGCTTTATAGACCGTATGCTGCCTTTCCATCGAATGACTGTCAAATCTGAACACTAGACTCATCAGGCGATACATAGACATTGTCTAGCATATTTCCTTTAGATTATAACTGAACAATTCTTTTAAAAATATATTTAACAGCAGACTTTTGGAGGAAATTACACTCCTAAATAATAATCATCAGCACATTACTTTTTAAGCAAATATTGATAATCAGCAAACAGTTTTTTTTTTCCGAATTACTTTCTTTCTACACATGTACATGTGTGTGTGTGTGTGTGTGTGTATTCATTTATTTACTTTTTTATTTATTAATTGACTTATTTAATATTGTTTGTCAATGAAAATCGAAATTGATCAGGAGAGCATTACATTTCATACATATCCGTTCTGATTTGAGCAAATATCAAAATTGCACATTTTTAATTCTTTTTCAATAAATATTATCTGGGCTTCTCTAATAGCAAAACTTTTAAATAAATAATTAAAGCCACAGTTTTTAAATAAAGCAATTTTACTTGCTTCGATTTTTTTTCAAATAATTTCGGTTTCAAATCAAAATAAAAAAAAATAATCGATTTTTCAAGACGGTATCACAATTTATGCGCTTACTTGAGCTAATATTTCTAATTTTGCTATTTTTATTTTTCAATCTTATTCGATTGTTATGTTCTCTGGTGGTCTTCGGGGTCCACGAGGTACCCAATTGATTCATGCTATCATCTATTTGCGTCAACATTTTCGCCCGGGCGCAGACGTTGATCATGTGAGGAAATAATTCCCTTGCCTGAAGACTATCGGAAAATGAAGGAATCGAAGTGTCGTGATAATGAAAACAACAAAGATGGTGATATTAGTCCAAATAAACTCATGAACTAAAAATGTTTGTCTCGTTATTTTTTTCTCTGTGTTAATTGTGCTATGAACAATAAATTCGTTTAGTTGATTAAAGCAGTCGAAACTTCGATCGACATTGGACTTTTCTTTCGTTTATAAACGATTTCATTTAGACGATTTCAGCAATTGAAAAAAAAATCTTATTTCAAAATCAAAAGGATTATGAAGAGTTTAAAAAACATCATTTTCTTTAACATTTTGATCTTCCATATTTATAAACACACACCTTTGTGCAAATTAATTGGGGAAAAAACGAATAATTCCATTATTATTTACTCTTTTTTCGTATTTTCCCTAACCCTAAACATGACCCAGCGCACATTTTTTATCTTTGTATGTCCATTCCATGAAATCTTTTCTTGCAGATTGACGACAGATTCTTGATTGGATTTAAATCAGGAGAGTTTCCGAACAAGTCGATAGTACTTTGATTTGATCACTGATAAGGCTTACCATTGTGTTCGTGAAACAATGACTGTACGACAACTAATCGACAGTCGAGATAATAGTGCCAGGGCGTCATAAAAATCTGATGCAATCACGGATGACGCAATATTTTTCAAGGTCAAACAAATTTAATCATACAACCCGAAAATTGATTCATATTACTGCACACCATTGAAAATGACCTAATCTGGGGAAAAATTAGAAATCGATTACACCCTGCCACTCCAGTGGGTTTAAAACTGACCGTATGCTGAAAGAAAGGAAACTAAAATGGATGTTTCCATTAATTTATACAAAGGTGTAGTAAGGTATTTTTTAACTGAAATGGCCTGGCCGTTGCTACAGGACATAGAAATTCTTATTTTATAGATATTCCATTATTGTTCTCATCTATTTCTTTCTCTTGAGAAAAAATTACTTTAAAAGGTTAAAAATTTATAGTTCTAGAACATAAAAGGATAAACTAAAAATACACGTGATGCAATAATACTTCCTGATTTGAAATAAAAATAAGTTCATTTGAAATCAAATAAAGATTTAAAACTAAAACAATTGGTAACGTTGATGATAAAAATTGCCGTTTCCATTCAAGAAACATTAGGCATTCATTGACTAATCAGTTAATTTTTGTCTAATTTTCTGCGGTGACGAGTTGTTATTATTTACACTATTTATAGTCCGACAATTGTCCTCATCTTTGTTGTTGTTGTTATCACACCGTTTCGGCCGTTGTGTCCTCTGGCCTTCCTCGGGTGTATATCGATCTGGGTAACATACATGAAATCCTGAACTGAACCATTTATTTAATCAGCTTTCGCAGAATTCTCGTGTCTATGAGACCTCGTGTCTATGAGATCTGGTGTCTATGAGATCTCGTGCCTAGTTCTGATTTTATTTGGTTCGCCAGTTTCCAGTGAGTGCAAGTACACACTGCCCGACCCAGGGATTGAACTCAGAACCTCTGTCACCAGATTCACAAACCAACGCTTTTATCCACCCACTAAGACAATTTGCTGTAGAAAACTTACAGCCTTAAACCTAACCTAGCTGCTGATAAGGTCGCAACTGCTGCTTCTGTCTTCCTATGTTTAGATTCTTGCTGCTACTGCGTGTGAAGACTTTGTCTTTAACAAAATGACAGTAAGTCATCAATCCCTGGGCCTGGCAGTGTGTACTTGCATTCAGTAGAAACGGGTAAGCAATAGCTAAACTAAACCTGATACCCCTAGACAGGGCAGTCGAACAATATCAGTCTACCCCCGTAGATTAATTAATGGTTTCGGTTTAGAATTCCCTGTAGATCGATATACACCTGAAGGCCGGAAGGCACAATGGCCGAAACGTTGTGATAGCAACAACAATGATGAGGAGAATAGTCCGAATATAAACAGTGTAAATAGGTAACAGTTATTTTGCTTTAAAATTTCTAAATATTTCTTTTGGAACAGTTTTTCAGGAAAAGTTCACTGTTATTGCCCTTTCTAGTATTGACGGGTGGTCCTTCCTTAACTTATGTTTAAGGTAGGGTAGAAAGTTAACTGTAGTTGGAGGGAACTGGCCAGGTGTTTGACGACTACACACGTCGTGGGACTAAGGATGATGATGGCGGTAGGAAGTCACCATGTTGATTATTTTCGCTTCTAATGACATGAATTAAAAATGAATTCAAAGTAAACCTTGAAAGGGGGAAAATATGAATTAATTTAGCCTGAAATTTATTGTACTACAATTTAAGTGCTTTATATGCCAAAGGATGGTCAATAAGATGTATTTAAAAATAATCAATGCATATAAAATATTCCTTATTTGCAATAAAAATTACAATGCAGCATAAGGTCCTCAGAAAAGGTAAACAACATAAAAATAAATGAAGAAAGGGGGAAGTACTTCTCTGAATACTTTTCAAAGAATAGGTACAATTTTCGAAGCAAAGTCCGTGGTAACAGTGAAGAATAGAGCAATCAAACCAGCCGAAGAAATTTCTTTGATGTTCATTTCAATTCTCGTCTGGTGGTTGTCAAATTTCTTCTGTGTTTTTTTTTTTTTTTTCTTCCCGCACCGGGGCGACCTGGGTTCATGCAGCAGCTGTTAGTCGACTCCTCGAATTCAATTCCTGGCCCTCTATTTATTCATCCAGATAGGCTCAAGATTCACTTCTCGAAATTTGGAGGGAAACCTTTTGATTGGTTCCGAATGAAAAACAAAACGCAGATATTTTACCCATAACTCGAAATGTACTAAGATATTTTTGAAATTCAAAAGTTTAAGCATCTGTTTTCTATCAGAAAAGCAGACGATACACGCTCAAGCAGCTTAACTTTCTTATAGTTCTACGAATTCATTTTGCTAAATTAAATGACAAAACCACATTTACTTCGTCAAGAAAGGTGGTAGGAAGAAAGAAAAGAGCGAATAAATGCTTGTTAAATATGGCGGAAATGTGGCGTTCTGAATTACTTCGAAACGTTCTTTTACTAAATCGTGCGTCAGACAAGAAAATAATAGTTTGATGATGAAAAGTAATGAGAGAAGAGGATAGATGTTCTCTTAAATATTATGATTCATACGTGATATGGAAAGCTAATGGGGATGAATGATGTCACATGAAATAAAAATTCTCTGATGAAATCATGGGTTCGGCTGGATATGGAACATTGTTGAGAATGAATGATTAAAAAAGGAACGTTCTCTTGAGAAAGCAGGGATTAAATTTAGTTAAAGAACAATGAAGTTGAGCGATACCACTATGTGAAGGTTGCTCTCTTACGAAATCAAATGTTAGGCCTAATGTCGAGGAAGACTGATGAGTGTGAGTGAAGACTGGTGAGTGTGAGGGAGGATCGAAGAGTGTGAGGGAGGACTTGTGAGTGTAAAGGAGGTCGTGACTATGAGTGATGACTGGTGAGTGCGAGGGAGGACGAGAGTGTGAGTGAAGACTTGTGTGTTAGGAAGGACGCGAGTGTGAGTGATAACTGAAGAGTGTGAGTGAAAACTTGTGAGTGTGAATAAGGATTGGTGAGTGTGAGTGAAGACTGGTGAGTGTGAGTGATGACTAGTGAGTGTGAAGGAGGACCGGTGAGTGTGAGTGAGAACTAGTGAGAGAGAGGGAGGTCATGAGTATGAGTGATGACTGGTGAGTGTGAGGGAGGACCGGTGAGTGTGACTGAGGACTAGTGAGTGTGAGGGAGATCGTGAGTATAAGTGATGACTGATGTGAGGGAGGACCGATGAGTGTGAGTGATGACTGATAAATGTGAGTGAAGACTGGTGAGTGGGAGAAAGGACTGGTGAGTGTAGGAAAGGACTGGTGAGTGTGAGTGAAGCCACTAGAGGAGAAGTTGATTTAAGAAATTCTAAAGCAGGATTGATAGGAAAAGGTGGTGATGCTTCAAGTGGAGAGGGGTTCTCTTCAGAAATATGGTAGGGTTGCCGACCGTCTCGCAAAGTGAATTCCCGTATTATGATGCTGAATTAACGAATAAAAATTAATTGATGCTTTCCACGTTTTCCTCCAGCATTTTGAGAAGTGGATATTCTATTTTTTTCTAAATTACTCTTGAATTTTGCTTTATTAAAGACGTACTTTATAAATACAAAGGACTGGGACATGTTCGAAATCTTGCCTCTCTCTCTCTCTCACTCTCTCTCTCTCTCTCTTTCTTTCTCTCTCTCTCTCTCTCTCTCTCAGAGAGAGAAAGAGAGAGAGAGTTTCTATCGCTCAAGAATACCAAATTAAGTTTTGTGGGTCAATAAGCCCCTGGTTGGGAACTTAAGGGAATCTGAAGACGTCATAGTTGCGAACCTGTCCATAAGATCCGCGGCCCTCTTGTTGGGAATTTCCATAAACTTATCCCCGTTAGTATTTTTATTTTAGGGAGTTAGAAATCCTAAAATCAAGTGGCATGCATGACGGGGAAGATTTATTAGCGCCAGTGACGTGACTCGTTACATTCAGCCTTGAAAACATAGAATTATTTTCCAAATCTCAATGCCAGAGTACCAATAACAAGAATGGCCAATATCAATTTTATACTTCGATTATTCACACGAAAATAAGCGACGAGATAGGAAATATGTCCACGACCTTAAACAAAAACTACAGCATATACATACAATGAAAGGCACATATAAACGATTATACGCACATACCTTGATAAAGCGATATAAGCGATTACACACACATGCATTAAGAGAGACATGCACATATACCAACCAAGAAATACTCAAATTTAAAAGTGTTAGTAAACGGATTCTACTTTTAAATTTAAGTGCTTTATAAACAAAATGACTCTTTTTGTAGTGATTTTATAACATATTTATGTTATTATTTTCGAATAAATAATTAAATATATATATATATATATACATATATTGGTAGGACATCATAGAACCGTATCATACTACCTGTGTCTGCTATTCGGCGATCGTTATCGTCGCTTAGCAATCTTCAACATAACAGAATATCATCTTTGATGGTGGATATCTTCGTTTGAATATCCGTCTAACGACTCTGAAGATAACTCATTTGAGCCGAAAGGTTAGATCAAGGAACAGCATGATAAAAATATCCAAATGTTGGACAATTTTTGTTTATATTTTCTCCCGAAATTAAAGGAAATATACGAAGCTTAGAACGGCGCATGATCAAACATAATAGACATTCGTTGTCTGTTATATTTAACAATATCTGTTTATATATATATATATATATATATATATGTGTGGGGGGGGTGAAGATAGCGTTTAAGCTAAAAAACAGAGTGTCGCCGTTCGGTGTTGATCTCAGTTTCCACTTTTATATTTACATACGCTCTATTACTCATATCGAGCACCTTAACCCATAAATATAAATATTAAAACTATATATAACCTATATATATATATATATATATATATATATATATATATATATATATATATATATATAATGTCTTAAAATAATTGTCCATTTCATAATGTGTGACGTCATTTGTTTACATTTGGATACGCATCGAGCAGATATGAATGTATGATAGAATATCATGGAGAATTGTAGTTTAAAAACAGTAAAATCGACCTTGCTAACCGAAACGATGCTCCTGCGCGTCAGGCTATATGACGGTTTCGTGTAGGATACAGGTTCATTTCCTGTCGGACGACGCATATTTTCTATGAAAATTTCTCGGATATTCAGGCCGGTAAATGTCGTTAATACTGTTTATTATAAACAGAACATTTACTTAAATATTTGTATCTATAAAAAGAACGTATGATATTTGTTATATTTTCGGGATGGGAAGAGGATTCAATATCGGGAATTTGTAGCTGTAAACAGTGTGGCCATGCATATCAACACTGCATCACGACTGGCAGATTCACACGATCATATAACCAACAGTCTTATGTCAGCATCTGAATTAATAAATCTGTTCACAATTCCTCTTACAAAACCAAACAAATTATTCTCATTTTTTTTCAAATCGGTCTGATACTGGTTATTTCCCATTCTGTGAAAAAATGATGTAAGAATTTAAATTATTACATTGGTTCTATTTTCTTCGTGAGTAATCTAGAATTTTACCTATACCCTTACAAACCTATTTTTCAATATAAAAATTAATTCTGTATTTCAAATTATTAAAAATCAAAAATATACACAGAAAGCTAACACGAAATAAATTAGAAATAAAGAAATATATTAGAAACTTTATCTCCTCTACTTATAAGATATCACGTTATTATGGTAACACAACGTTCGTTTGCTTATTGGCAATACTTCTTCTATGCACATGAATATCTTATTACTAAAAAATGGAAATCAGGCTGCGAAACCGATCCATATAAACGTCGCATTCAAATTGTATATTATAAAATAGTTCATTTTTTCCTACTGCTTGATAGATTCATTTGCCAAGTTTTTCATCGGAAGCCTAATGTAAATGATGGACTTTCTTACAAAATTATTGAAATCATTTTTCTATCTGTGACTAACACTCATTAATACAATATTTTGTATTTCAGATGTTGAGAAATATTACACAATCTTAAAGCAAAGCTTCCCAGGTTTTCTTAAAAACAAAACCACGGAAAGCAGTTTTAACTCTCTCTCTCTCTCTCTCTCTCTCTCTCTCTCTCTCTCTCTCTCTCTCTCAGTCTCTCTCAATCTCTCTCTCAATTTTTCTCTCTCAATCTCTCTCAAAATCTCTTTCTATAAATCTGTCTCTCTCAATCTCAATATCTCTCTCAATCTCTCTCAATCTCTCTCTCTCTCTCAATCTCAATCTCTCTCTCTCAATCTCAATCTCTCTCTCTCTCTCAATCTTTCTCTCTCAATTTTTCTTAAAATCTCTCTCAATCTCTTTCTATCAATCTCACTCTATCAAGCTCTCTCTCTCTCTCTCTCTCTCTCTCTCTCTCTCTCTCTCTCTCTCTCTCTCAAATTCCAACTCGACTGAAGCGTCTTATGGCTAACGGTTCCATACCACCGTAACATGGCATACACGTTTTTACTATTTGCAGAAAAAAAAAATTATTCATACGGCCATTTTTCTGCTTCTGACGAAATCATTTCATTTGTCGATTAAGTTAATTAATCTGAATAAATAGATGAAAATATTTTGTCTGCAGATGAAAGGAAATGAGAAAAAATTGGAAGATAAGGAGGGGATCCATTATACTGTTGGCATTCGTCTTCGGATTATTTTGTAAAAATCAGAGCCGGGCACATTTTCATCGAAATGAAATAAACAGCGAAACAAATTCAACCCTGTTTATTCGTGTTTCTTCCTGAAAGCAATTTAATTGTACTTTCCCTAGACTGGTTGCTAACCAAGGCTAAAGAGCCTAGTCAGCCCTGCTATTTCGTGCACATGACTTATCATAAAAAGCATTAGAATTGAATTTGTAACATCCTTTGTTTGTACAAAATTATTTTAAAATGATGATTTTTATCGAATTCCCACCTGTTGCTGGGCTTGTTCAAGACTACAATTCAAAATAGTGTTAATCGAACAGTCTTCCTTTATCAATATTTATTTATTATCTTTCGAGACAGATAGTCTGTACATAGAAATATACACTTCATAGTGTCAATCAGTTTCACGCTTCAATGCTATCTTTATACAAAATATATATTAGATGAAATAGATTAAATCCGATAAAGATTTTAATATATTTTTTGTTTATATCTAATTTTTATGGATACAACTTATTTAAGTAAATGCTCTGTTTTTAATTAAACAGTATTAATTATATTTATCAGGCTGAATGTTTGAGATATTCTCCGACAAGAATCGAACCTGTATCCCATACGGAAATCGTCATGTGGCCTGACGTGTTGTTAATCATTCAACAACTGTAAAAGAAGGCATATTTCCTACGAAATTTCGCGAACATTCAGACCGGTAAATGTAATTAATACTGTTTAATTAAAAACAGAGCAATTGCTTAAATAAATTGTATTTATAAAAATAACGTATAAACAGAAATATATATAAACATATATATAAAATAACTTATAAAGAAAATATATATAAAACATATATAAAATAACGTATAAACAGAAATATATATATTAATATATATTTTTTAAATGTAGACATAAAAACCACCTCAATCTAACTAAATATATTTAGAAATAACTATATAGAAAGGAAAATATTATGTTATTTTTAGTTTTGGAAATGATTATATGCACACATGGATGCGGATACATAATGGTATGTATACAAGTGTATAGATGGACTTGGACATTGATATGTGATATGTGATGTATGTATATATATGTGCATTTGTATAGGGGTGTATATATGTATATATATATATGTATATATGTACTGTAGGCATATATATAAAGAATATATATATGTGTGTGTATGTGTGTATTCGTAAGTTTAGGTAGGTATGTTTGTACATATATATATATATATATATATATATGGTGCCATGTATATAAGATTGCGTGTGGTCTGTATATGTATATGTGTATATATATAAATGTAAATGTTTCTGAGTTCCTATTTGTAATATGTGTGAATATATGTAAAATATAGTAATATAAATACATATGCATGTATAGGTGTTTATGGGTATAGATCAGTATATATATATATATATATATATATATATATATATATATATAGAGAGAGAGAGAGAGAGAGAGAGAGAGAGAGAAAGTATTCCAATGGAAGGACATAAAGTTCTTTTATTAATGTTTAATCTTACTTTCCCTTTTAATATTCTCTAATTAGAATTGTGAGATTGAAATTGTTTATCATCTGGAGGTAATTTCATTTAAATTTAATTTAAATTTAAATATATTACTCTTTAACAATCAATATTGATAGTAAAATATTAAAATTAGAAATATTTGTTTTGATATTTAAACACTTAAGGCATCACCTAACGTTAAATATTAATTGTGAAATTAAAGAAAAATTTAAATAGATATAAATATGAATATGTGTAATTATTTGTAAATGTATGTGTAAGTATTTATATCACTTCCGTTAAGTTAACCATTTAAATAGGTCAAGGTCTGGTCCTTCCTCCCCCCAATACTAAGTATGATTGAAAGAAATATTAAAATAAACCCTCTCTAAACACGACCATGTCTCTCACAACACTCCTTGCTACCCTCTCTGTTAAATTACATAAACTTAATACTACCCGTCAAAAGTGTGAATTTTCATTTCATCTTTCGTTTCATCTTTTGGAAGTCCTATCTGATGATCCAGCGTCCCTTAAAAGGGTGCTGGTGAAATAAATTATTATAATGGAACCTTAAAGTGGTCTGTCTTTCTTTAATATATATATATATATATATATATATATATATATATATATATATATATATAACAGTGAACATTAAAGTAAACACTCAGGGCGACAGGCTCTTTTATGTTAGGCGCAATCGTCAGTCTGACGATTGCGTCTAGCATGAAACAACCTGTCGCCTCTGAGTGTTGACTTCAATGTTCACTTTATATTTATATTTACATACGCTCTATCTCTGATATTGAGCACTTTATCCCATAAATATAGCATACCTTAAAACTATATTTTCTTTTATATATATATATATATATATATATATATATATATATATATATATATATATATCAAAAAAAACAATTTATACAAAAGAATAAATTAATAATTAATATTAATATGATTCATGGAGAAATCACTTCGCTAACAGGACATAATGAGACATTAACTTACGATCAATTCCTTGAATAATAAGATCCTTATATTCGAGTTGTTAGATAGAAGATACATCCCAAGTATTTTCGACAATTTCAACTTGTCATCTTCAGGACGCAATTTTTCCCATACATAGGTAAACACTAAGACGAAATATGTGTAAACCAAAAGATTATTTTTAATTATGTTATTTATTGACAATTAAATATATGTTTTGGAGCGTTTTTGATGCTAGAGTTCTTGTTCAAACCAATCAAGTGAGAATTTTGTTTGAATTTTGAAAAGATATAAATCCACAAAATTTTCTTGTTATCACTTGATTGATAATAAAAAAATATAAAAACTCAGCCATAAACATAATGTTGATATAACGCTATTAATATATATTACCAAATACATAGATATATAAAACCAGTCGCTAAAAATAAAATCATTAGATTTATTATTAACTGTAAAAAATTTAAAACTAGCAACTTAGTTATTAAAAATAATATATCCCAAACTTCCAAACCTCTCTATAAAACCATAATAAGACAACATATTAATAAATAGCATAAGGATAATAGTAACATTTGAGTGCTACTCGCAAACAATACCAAAATACTAGCAAAATCAAACAGCAAAAACATATACTATTATCCTTGGATCATACAAGATCAACGATCAATAAATAAAAATAGAGCCCGCATCCTCAAATGTATTGCCTACGTCACAACACTCTTTGCCAACGTCACAACACTTTTTGCCTACGTCACAACATTCTTTGCCTACGTCACAACGCCTACATGAAACTCACTAGTTGTCTCCAACTACGCTGATCTTAAGTCGAAAGCTTGGACCATAGTTCTTGTACTTTTCTTCCGAAACGGACTTCGGACAATTTCTGTTGGAATTTCTTCCTTATCTGAGAAGGATTATTCTTATTTGGAAAAAGTCGACCATTAAAATTAATCAACACAAAATGTTTGTCGTTTTTAATAGTATTTGCCATAAGGGATAGTTGCTGCCCATATACACAGAACACATGCAAATATATATGTGTAAATACACGTTGAGATTGAGATAGATAGATAGATAGATAGATAGATAGATAGATAGATAGATAGATAGATAGATAGATAGATTAACAAAATGTTTCGTTACTGGCATGCCTCGGCCATTGTCGAAAAACATAATGAGTAAGTACTTAAGAAAGACATGGCTGCCTTATCTTAATAATAAGGATTAATAAATTGTTGCTACCCTTATAGCCAAAATTGACAGAAGGTTATTAACAAGGAATAATAAAGAATTTTCCCGTGCAAAAACTGATTTTCATGCCAGATATGTCCTTACCACTTGGAAAGTCCTGCTTAGAGTAACACAGTCTTCGGGACTGTTTGTGTAAAATATCAAAAAACGTTTAATATTCCGACAACTAAAAATGGCGTCGTTTTATCGATCGTTCACCGGAATCTGCAATGGCTATAATTCATTTTCATATAAGTCAAAGGGAAAATATTTTTTAACATTTTTAAGGTACAGCTTTTATTTTCCTTCTAGATTAATGTGAATTAAATGCAATCAACATTGTTCTATGTAGAGGAGAGACTATGATATTTGAAAAAAAAAACGTTTCCAACACACACACACACACACACATATATATATATATTGTATATTTCGGCAGCATTCCCTCTTATATGCAAGTTTCGATGAAAACAGCTGACAAGGTTCAGTGGGGTTTTTTTATATAATTTCTCATGAAAAGGAGTTATAGGAATGTTTTATATTCCAAAAATGGTCATTAACCTCATTGTCAAAAATAATAATTCCCCTACAAGATCTACATTACAGAGAATCAATATTATTTACGAATTTACATGTCTCTTATGTTGTATTGTTTGTGTGTAAATTATTTTCAGATAGAGTGTAAAGGAAGAAAATTAAGACCAGAGGGAAAACTATTCTTAGCAACCGACACGTTTCGTTGTGCTATAAATAACAAAAATTAAGATACTACTCTAGATAATATGTGGAATCATAAAAGCTATCAGATCAGAGAAGTTCTGAAAATATCCGCAAGTTCAATAGATAAGGGTATTCGTCAGAAAGGCGTAGAGGAGGGGGAATAATACAAACACTGCGTTTCAGAAAACTGTTAAGAAAATATTTTAACTCTCAATTACGAAGAAAAATGGACAGTTTATTAATTTTTTATTCGAATCATTTCCACCTTTTACGCCAAAATATTCGTCTGACTTTCTATATG